AAAAAAAAAAAAAAAAAAAAAAAAAAAAAAAAAAAAAAAAAAAAAAAAAAAAAGAGAGAGAGAGAGAGAATCATGCAGTGAAGAAGGAAACTTTTTTTTTTTCTCGTGAAAAACATAGTTTTGGATGAAAGAATAGCATACCGTCCAGCTGCTCCAAAAATTCGTTGGATATTCTCCTCTGAGTGATCTTCAGGTAAATTTTCTACCAAAATGGTAAATAACTATACTCCACAAAGAAATGTAATAGGATTACCATAAGTTACACATAAATTGTTGATTTCACAAGTAGACAAGCAAGTACCTTAGGATCCCTAGTCTCAGGCAATGGAATAGGGTGGAGTCGCTTGACTTTCTTCCCATTAGGACTTACGACCTGCAATTGGCAGGCAAATTAACATGTGCTCATGGCCTTGTGGAAAAAAAGGGAGCATGGAGTATCTTACAAGAACAGAGGATTCCCTCAGTGCAGCAGCGATAAATGAATGATCTTGAGTAAGTTTTTTCATCCTCTTGAACGCAGCAATAATAGCAACAGGAACTAGAAAAATAAAGAGAAAATGAATATAACTTATTTGTGCATTGCTAACAGTACAATTGATTACTAAAAATCAGAATCATTGGACAAAAAATAAAAAAAAATAAAAATTAGAGAGATAGCAAAGAACAAAAATGAAGAGGATAAAATAGGAAAAATATGATATGGACAGTCCCAGTTTCATACTTCAAATATGTATAAAGAAACAAGTATGAACATATGAGCAAGCAAATGTGAGAATCCAGTGCCCCACAATAACTATTTACACTGCATACGAGCTAGTGATAGGAATGCCATTAGAAGAGATGATCAATTGGGAGATAATCAGCAAAGGATAATTAATTACAAGGGAAAGAAGCCAAGCAGGCAATGTCAAAAAATCAGCAAAGGCTAGAACCATTGGGAGATAATCAATTTATCATTAGTTTGTTCTAGTCCTTTACGTGAAAAAATCTATGGAAAAAGTCAAAGGCTATAATTCCAGGAATAGAGAAGGAAACAGTCAGCAATCAACCACACTTAATCCAGACAGAACAGTCCGAAGTGCCTACATGGATCATCACCCCATCACATTTCATGCCGAGTTTTCATGAAAAATATAACCATTCTACAAAATTGGCATTAATGCCAAGGTTATGGGAAAGAATAATACACACACACACACACACAACAAGTTATGTCAAGTAATCTCAGAGTGTTTTATATGATTGAACTCCCAAGGATTAACAGTTACAACATCTGAGCCATCCCTGAGGTGTAATCCCTTTTGTAATACTAATCTTAGTTTCAAGTTTGATACTAAAACTAACTCGTACACAAATAGCATGTCCTTCCACTAAAACAGTTGGAAGGCCTAGATGCCAAAACTATGCAGATAGGCACTCTATTAGTAATCCAGGATGCCCCTGGATAACTACCTAAAGTATTTCCCATACAATGGGTTCTTTCCTGAATTTTATCCATAGCAAAATGTTGTCAAATTAGACCATGAATCAAAAATATTTGGAAAAGCTCAATTGCAATTTTTCAAGGCAATCCACATCAACAACGTAATGAGAGTATTGAAAACTTCTTGGTTTCATTAATCATACAGTAGAAAAGATACTTAAGAGTACATAAATATTCCTTAGTTCCAACAGTTTTATTCAAGTATGGCTCATGAGAAAACTCTTTCAAAGCATTCTGTAACTTACTACTTATTGCTTACTTATTCACGGATGAACTATTGATAAAAATACAAAAACAAAACAAAACAAAACTTGTGCATGCTCAACCCCTTAAAGAAGGTCAATACTACTGGGAGTTTTCATTTCCATCTAAAGATAATAAAATCTCAATAAAACAGAATAATGCCCAAAGTAACATACCAAAACCCTCCTTGTTCTTCTTGATTAATCCCAACATGTACTTATCAGTGGGCAAGTTTTCATTGCTAAAGTAGTACTCAACCTGTGAAGACATTCAGACCAATCATAAGGACCATGATGTCACTCTCTATAAATTTAACAAAGTTATAGAAAAAACTAGATGAAACGTAATCATTATTACAATCTAAACGCTCCTTTCAGGTCTTATACTAAAAGACTACTTACGGTCGCGTAACAAACCACAAATTACATGACATAACGCTCCTTGAAGTTGATAACCGAACCATAAGCTTCCTTACTATTTGGACTAAGCGATGTAAGTACATATACAAAAGGTCATATAGGAAAATCGAATACAGGTTCATGAAGGCAAACGGATTTGATAACTGATTCTCAATTCCGAATCCAAGCTCCTAGTCCAGGAAGTGGTTTTTAAGAAAAATTATAACCACAAATTTCCATAGCAATCCAGATAGGGGATTCAAGAACCTCATGCCGAACCAAACCTAACGAAGGAAATAAATTCGAGGTTCAAATTTGCAGCGCGGTGGAGAGTAAGGAGGGGAGAGGCGGTAGCGTTACCTGCTTAATGATCCTCTGTTTCAGATCCTCCGAAAGAACAGCGGCCCTAACTGCGTGATCGTGATTCCCCCCGTGTCCTTGTTCATGATCATCTTCGGAAGAAAATGATTGAATCTCCGGCACATCGTGACTAGGCGATCCGACAGGATCTTGTGTCAGAAGCGACGGGATGGACTCGCCGACGGAGCAAGAAACAGCAGCGGTGGAAGCGGAGGATGGAGGCTCGTCACCCGCCATGGTGAGGAGGAGAACAGCGTTGGGCGCTTAGAACCCAAAGTACCTTCACGCCCTCTGTTTCTCCTGCTTCGATGTGTGCTTTCGCGGGCCCTTTTATACCAATGTGCTCCAACATCCGGCTTCGGTGAGGGCAATTTGGACATTTCATTTGGTCCTTTGGGTAAGATCTTTTGAATTTCATGTTTTCCCCGCAATTCCTCGTAGTCAATCGGCGCCGGTAACACCTTACGCGCTCTGTATAGTATGATCTTAACCAGGTTCGGTCCGGAATATTTTAGTATTTCCTTGTTCGACCCGAAACAAGACCGGTCTATCGGTCTTTGAAGATTTTGGTTAAATTACATATTAGTCCTAAAATTTTAGAATTTAAGATAATTTTTAATAAAATTTAGATTTAGGAATATACTTTAGACCTTTGAATTTTTACTCGTGGAACCAAAATGTGACCAAAGAAGATGGAAGAAAGGCAAGATACTATATTACCATTTACGGACTCACATTACTTAGCAAAATTAAATTCTAAAGCAAAGTACGCAATAAAAACAAAGGCATTTTGGTCGAGAGTGGTTCTTGCCACAACTCCACGGAGAACAATTCTGCCGAACTCAAAACCAGGCCTAAAGCAAGGCCCACATAATTAACCAAAGGCCAAGCCCAACTCCCATACCCAAATATCCAGGCCCATTTCTGATAGAGGAAGAAAACCGAACACTAACATCGTCAACGACCGGCCCACAGAGGGAGCTCATATCATCCGTCCTCGTATTGTAATAGACACTGTAAAACGCAATCCTGGTTCTGTCGGCCTTGGCCGTGAAGTTGAGGTTCACGCTCTGAAACGAGGAGTTGGAATCGGGCGTGTAGTGGAAGTTCTGAGCCTGATCTCCGGCGAACGCCATTATGGCCAGTGGCTGCTTGCACTTGTCGCCGGCCTGGCCCAGAGAGAACGTCATGGTGTACGGCTTATCCGGCGTCGTTTCGACCATTTGAGAGATTATGCCTTCTTTTCCCGAAAGGAGTTCGATAGCTCGTTTGCCTTGTGGGACGCTGAAATGGTACGAGTCGATATATCGGACGGCCCTGTTTGATTCCACGTTCCAACCTGGCAACGACGACGTATCTTCGTCGAGATTGGTCGGAATTAACACGCCCAGTGAACCGTTTCTGAACATCCATGGACCGGATTCGAAATCTCCATTGTTCACCGCATTGTCTTTGACGAAAAGAAAAATTGTAGAATTATTGTTAGCGAAGTGTTCATTTAATCGCACAGAAGGCAGCAGAAGAATGTGAAATACCTTTAGGCCTATCAGGAATAAAGACTTTCTTGATAGCAATATCGTCAATGATGGGGCCACAGGTGGGGTCATCCTCCATGCCAGGGTTGCGGAACACCAAACGCACTGTTTCATCCTCGGGTTCGAAAGCGTAAGTATAAGGGTCCCACCCTTGGACGCTGTACAATGTCTGAAGATCTATGGTCTGCGATGCAGGTGGCACCGATACGTTCAGGGACTCGAGCTGGGCGCATGTACGAGCGGCGCTGAAGGTCACAGAATACAGTGCCCCTTTCTCCACCTTCAGCTCTTGGCTTATTTCAGCGTCGTTCCCTAATCTCACCGCGTGTCTACCTTCCGGTACGATGAGGATCATCCCACCTTGTTTTTGCCCCGACTCCACTAGCTCGACGGTGCCGTTTGATGTCCAACTTGGAATCGTAGTGGGCCCTTCTATTGCTCCGTCGTTTGGGTACCCGCCAGTTGGGATTGTCTCGAAGTCGCCGTTTGCCACCAATCCTGATCACCACGTTCACAATGTCCAGCATTTAATCACAAAATTTTGTTAGTTGTCTTTGCAAAATCTTGATACAAATTCTATTTGATAGGAACTTTCCAACTCAAATTTTGTTAGTATTTTTAGAAATATACAGAATATGGACCATTAATTATTATTTTAACAGTAAACATATCAATCTTCATTAAAATTTATTAAACATAAAAGTTAAAGTTATAATTTAACTAAATAAAACAAAGAGTTTCTTTGTAATCCAATGAATATTTAAAAGTAAAAGCATGAAGGTCTAAAATAATATTTAAATATTATCATCTGTCTTTATTATTTTGGGGGGAACAAAAGGAGGAAAATGAAACGAGTTGTGAAGAAAGGGGGTAAAGTTAGAAGAATCTCGTGATCGAACTGAAAGAATAAGGGCGCCCATATCAATTCGAAAGAGCAAGCAAATGGACGGGCGCCCACGTACGGACTTGAAGGGCTACTTTATTAGTACTACCGTCTTCAATACGACAATCAGTGAGGTCGTATTGGGAGAATTAACGCGTGGGGTCCAGCTGTTCCACTGGGTCAAGCGCATTTCCACATTGGTTCTCCCAACAAATAAAATAAAGAAAAGAAAGAGAAAAAAAGGTCTCTCTCACCACCGGGAAATCTGGGTAAATAGAGTGAAATGACGAAAATCACTCGGGATCAATCTCCTTTTAGGGAAAGAATGAGGCCCTTTCTGTAAGAGGAAAGCGACAAATCCCTCGCGGGAAAATGTACATTCTGGTAATTTTACCGTCACCAAAAGAAAAAAAAGAAGATGGCCAGTAGGGCCATAGGTAGGGCTCAAAAGGTTTTATCACTATATGGCATAATTACCCAACTTGATAACAGTCTAGTAAATCTATAAAAATAATAGTCTAATGCATTGCCTACATAATTAAATTAAAAGGAAAGGGGGCAAAAAAATGAAAAAGTTATGAACATATCATTCTTTAATGGAACTTAACTTGGTTTAATAATTTTTTTAATATTAATAATCCTACATTAGAGATAATTTAGGAGTATTTTATCAAATATTAGCGAGGCTTAAGTAAACTAGTAATCAAATTTGAAATTTAATTATTTAAAAAAATAGTCCGTACGGGATATCGTGACTGATATCACTGCGGCACAGCGGTGGAAAGCAGTGAGTCAGAACAGCGATTCATCCCTTTCCCAAATGAAGCAACGCAACCAATCAACCACCGGTATGGCCACCATCTGCGGCGGCGTTTTTGCGGCAATGAGTGATGTTCGTAAGCCATTAAAGCCTTTCCATTTTAGCTAAATAGTTCATAGGATTCACAAACAAGTTGCGCAAAACTAAAAAGCGGCCGCTGCCATACAGAATAATCTATCTTATAGATATGAAGCTTTTAATGCTCCTAACACTGTTATAGTGAAGAACAAATGGATTGAAGAAAATCATTTCTCCCGAAATCTCCGACTGTTCTTATCGAGAGCTACTAAACATGAACAGAAATTTTCAGCCAAAAGAACACAAAAATCTTTCAGCAGAAACAGGATTTGAACGAAACTATGAAATTAAGATCACATTGAAAGAGAAAAATCAATTGGAAGCGAAATTGAAATCAGGTTATCAGATCTTGCGAGGAGGAAAGTGAAAATGGAAGAACAAAAACAAGAGAAAGTAAAACAGAGAGAAACGTACCATCTTCAGCTGCGATTTCCGAAGCCAAATGAGCAAAAACAAGCAAAATAAGCGATGGCCGTATTCGAAATTTAGGGCAATCGGCCATTTTCTTCCCCAAATTTCTCTCTCTTTTAACACTGAGTTTGTTTTAAGCTCTCTCTGTTGTTTAGTAGAGCGGGCAAGTGAAGAGTGAGAATTTCTCTAGCCAAAAGATTCCACTTATAGCGTCTGTATTCCAACAAAGGGCATTTAAAATTACTTTATTAAATATATTTATTTATAAATTTGACAAAAAAGAAAGTGGTGCGATTTTGCGTTTGAATTTTTTATTTTAAATATAATATTTTTTTTTAATTACCTATTAGACATATTCAATTTTTGTCCATATTAACTTATAATTCTATTGCTTAAATTTTAAATTGTGGTAAATAAATAAATTTAAAATTTTAATTTAAAAATTGTTAATGCATAAATTCTCATACATTGATAGGTTTATTAAAGAAGGTAGGCCATCCATTTGAAAATAATCAAATATTTGAAGTAGACTTATATTAATTTATTTATAAAAATTATTAATTTTATTAATATAATTATAAGTTTGCAAAATTTCCAAATTAACATTAAAATTCAAATTGTTACAAATATTGGTTAAAAAAAATTTGCTTCAAAAATTTGCCCTATGAATTGAATTTTTTTTTTTTGGTTGGTTTTTGCTTTGAACCTCTTTTATTTTAAGTCATTGGTCAAAGGTCCCACACACCGCCGAGCGGTGGTGGGGCCGGCGGATAGGCTCTCCACTTTTGGAGGAGTAATGGTAAGGATTGTGGGGGTGAGAATCTTTCTTTTCTAATTCTAACTCAAATTCGCGTGCTGGCAGCAACAATTTAAAACAGATCAAAACTTTAAAAGCATGGCTGTATTTGTTTACCATTTAAAAATAGTATTTAGAGTGAATTTTATTTTGCTTAAATTATAAATTTAGTTTATATAATTTTAAAAATTACCCTAAAATCTTTAAAATTATATAAAACTATTTAGCCTCAGAAAAAATCTTGAACTTAATTATATAAAGAAAGTTTCTGATATACTAAATGTTGGATTGTATTTAAGTTGATGATAAAATGCTTAATTATAATAAATTTTTTTATTAAACTATTTATGATAAATAAATTAGTCAATGAAAAATCATTTCATAAAAACCTTCAACTTGGAGGTACTATTATTAATGTCGGTATAAGAGAGAAGATTTAAGTTATGTATTGAATAAAATTGAAGAATATTAAAAATAAATCTGCAGATAAAATATAAAATACAGGTCCACTTAAACTTGATGCTGTTTGTATTAGTAGGTCAGTTTCTCCCACATCGCGATGAAGTATAGGGGATCCATCCATATTTAAGTCTTGTGATGGCCATTCTTCAATGAGAGGGAAGGAATGAATTATGATTGCTGCACCACCAAAAATAATATAAAAATAAAAATAATGATAATAATAACAATAAATTTGATGGCCCATTAATAATTTACTTCTCCTATTATCTCTAGCATACAACCCTTCACACCCCCCCCCCCCCCCCCCCCCCCCCCCCCCCCCCCCCCCCCCCCCCCCCCCCCCCCCCCCCCCCCCCCCCCCCCCCCCCCCCCCCCCCCCCCCCCCCCCCCCCCCCCCCCCCCCCCCCCCCC